CTTCGGCCATTAGAGGCAGAACCAAATTGGCACCAGGTGAGCAACTTTTTTCAATTGTTTTCCTCTTTAGAGCTTTAACTTTCAAGTTATTAACTTCTAAATATAATACTTCTACAGTTAAATGGTGGATGCAATTTGGTTATGAAGTTCCAAACTTGCAACAGTTTGCTATTAGAGTTCAAAGCTTAACTTGTAGCTCATCCGGATGCGAGAGAAATTGGAGTGTTTATGAACATGTGAGAAGCTATATCACATTATTACTAAATTAAAGTTTATCTCAATTGTCCTAAGTACTCCTCTTAGTTACTTTCTATATCTTATTATGCAGATTCATAGTAAAAAGAGGAACTGACTTGAGCTAAAGAAACTCAATGATCTCGTGTTCGTAAAATATAATAGAACATTGGCTCGTCGTTACAAAGCTCGCAATATCATTGATCCTATTTTATTGGATAGCATTGATGAAGCAAATGAATGGTTAACCGGAGGCCCCGATAATCATGAAGAAGAAGAAGTGTTTGAAGGAGAAGGTCTCACTTTTGGTCATGTTGCTATGCAAGTGGAGTTGAAGAGAATGTTTATGGTTTAAGGGGAAGTACTTTAAGGAGCAAAGAAAGAGTATCTACAAGAACAAGTACATGTACAAGTAGAACCCTAATTAATGAAGCCTCCGATGAAGAAGAAGATGATGACCAATATAATAACTCGAACGTGATGACACTTCAAGAGTTTGGAGATCTTGTTGAAGAATAGGATGTTGCTCCTTTTGTGGTTTTGTTTTGCATTTGCTTAAGATATTATGACTTTTGAGGATTATTCACTATCTAGTTTTAGTATCTATTATGAAATATTTGCTTAATATGTTATTTTTAATGAGTTCTTAGCCATTTATCTATGCCTATTTTTTTATTTTTTTTATGTGTTAAATTGAGCTTCACAGCAAAAAAGCGCGCGCTTCGCTTCTCGCTTCTCGCTTCTGTGAAGTGAGGCCTCGTCGTTTTTTTGCGCTTAACGCTTTCCAAAACACTGCCTCGGCCTCACATTCACAATCAGTACAATACTGCTGCGGCATGCATCTCGATCCCATAATAATCCTCACAACACAGGCCCTCGGCCTTACTGAGTCAGAATCTCACAAGCCACACGGGCAACAGTAAAACAATTACTCAGCTCAAAATTATTTATGAAATAAAAAGGAGTGAATAAAACCGAGTTGTGAAAACAATACGAATATAACATGACTGAGTGTAAGCATTAAACCAAAACAGTGAGGTAAAACTGTAGTAAAAGCCCCTAAGGGTCCAAACAATCGGCACAAGGCCCAGACACGGCATTTAGCCCCAAACACAATAATATTTGCCGAGATATAACAATATCGAATAGTTTTCAAGTAAAATACGCGACTTAATAGTCGAACGGGATGGGCCAAGTCACAATCCCCAGCGGTGCACGACCCCACGCTCGTCATCTAGCATGTGTGTCACCTCAAAGTGGCACAATGATGTAAAATCCGTGGTTTCGTACCCTCCGAACAGTATTTACAATCATTACTTACCTCTTTCCGGTCCAAACTCTAGCCCGCGATGCCTTAGCCTCTCGAATCGGCCTCCGAATGCTCCAAATCTATCCAAAAGCAGATTGACACCATCAAAATATGCTAAGGGAACAAAGCCCACTCGAAAATATCTAATTTACACCAAAAATCCCGAAATTGGCCAAACTCGGCCTTCAGGCCCATGTCTCGGAATCTGATAAAAATCACACCATAGAATCCTTATACTCTCACGAGTTCGTACATACCAAGAACATCAAAATCCGACATCAAATGCCTATTCAAATCCCCAAAAGAATTTTCAAACTTTTCTTCCATTTCTCCCCAATTTCCACTCTAATTTCTCAATTTAAATGATAATAATCTAGACATAATCATGGTATTTAACCAAATTTGAGTGAACAATACTTACCCCAATCAATCCTCTGAAAATCCCTTCAAAAATCGCGTCAATCCGAGCTCCATAGCTCCAAAAAAGCAAAAATGACCGAAACCCTCAAAATAGAGTACTTTATAAGCTGCCCAGGCATTTACCCTATGCTATCACGGACAAACTAATGCGATAGCGAAGCACAAAATTTTCCAGCCCTTCTTTTACCCTATGCGATCGCGGCCATTCATCCGCGATCGCATAGACCAAATTTTTCCAACAGCCTTCCCCAACTCTTCCGGACAGTCTCTATTATAAGGGTCATAACTTTTTGTACAAAACTCCAAATTACAATTGGTTTAACTTTCTGAAAACTAGACATAAAGGGCTACAACTTTCATTTTTGGATCATCTTCAAATTCCTTTTAGATTGTGAGATATAAGCTTCGAAAGTCGGATCAGTGCAGCAGAAATTTTACTCTATGCGATCGCGGGAAGACTTACGCAATCGCATAGAACAGCTCCATTTTCCCAAATTTTCTCTATGCTAACGCGGCCAGATCTATGCTATCGCACTGTACACCCCTGAAGCCAAAAACCAGCAACTAGAAATGGCCTAGAAATGGTCCGAAACTACCCCGAAACTCTCCGGAGGCCCTCGGGACCTCAACCAAACATGCCATCACATCCCATAACATCATTCAAACTTGTTCCAACCTTCGGAACGCTCAAAACAACATCAAAACATCGAATCGCCCTCGGATTCAAGCCTAATAATTCCAAAACTTCCGAATTCCGAATTCGATCAAAAAGTCTATCAAACCTCGTCCGAATGACCTGAAGTTTTGCACACACGTCACAAATGACACAACGGACCTTCTCCAACTTCCGGAATTCCATTTTGACCCCTATATCAAAAGCTCACCTATCAACTAGAAATCGCCAAAATTCCAATTTCGCCAATTCAAGGCTAAATCTACTCTGGACCTCCAAAACACATTCCGATGATGCTCCTAAGTCCCAAATCACCTAACGGAGCTAACCAAATCATAAAAATCCAATCTGAGGTCATATACTAACAAGTCAAAACTTGGTCAAAAAATTTTAAGCTTCAAACTGATAACTGTTCTTCCAAATTTATTCCGATTATTCTGAAAACCAAAACCGACGATTTACATAAGTCATAATACATCACACGGGGCTAGTCATGCCCGAGAACTGGCGAGCTAAATGCAAAAGCTCAAAACGACCGGACGGGTCGTTACATCCTCCCCCACTTAAACATACGTTCGTCCTCGAACGTGCCTAGAGTTGTTCCGAAAACTATCAAATCGCTGTGTAACCCTTCCATGCACATACCTAGGGGTTATTCCACGTCACCTTATCTCATATAGGTCCGATAACACAATGTAACTGAATCCAACCCATAAACCTTAGAACCACATTTCCACTTCTAAAATCATCTATAAGATCAGAATCTCACATCTATACTTTGAATAAGTCTGAACAAGCTGTAACAAGCCATACCTGCAGCCTCAGATGCAATTACATGATATAACACATAGCTCAAACTCTCGTAGCGATAACTTCTAGTCACAACAGTTGCTCAGAACAACCGAATATCGATAATAAACCTCTTATCAAATAAATCCTCATTCCAACACTTCCGTATACTGCCACTGATAGATGAAACACATAGAAAGACATAACCATTCCTCAGATCAACCATTCGTGAAGCCACTTCTCCTTTGGCAAGGACCATAGCAAATTTCTAAGCCGAACATCGATATTATCCTTCCAACATGCTGAAATCGAATCCGTTTGTATTCATTCTAGATCCTAACGATCTCATCTAATCCAACACAACTACTCTGGTGGCATGACACATCAATACCATCAAAAGCCACAACTCGTGCAATCCGTACACCAATAAACAACAGTCCGAACGTACTCAAATCATGAAAAATGACTCAAACGAGAGAGCTGTACCGCAAGCTCACCAGTACCACCTCAACACAATGCTGAGAACCCATCACACGTCGTAGAACCAGAACACACGAATCTAACNGAAAAATCTGGGCAGTCCCTCAGGGGCCGCAAAGAGCTTGGGAAAAGCGAAGTCAAGCCATAAAAGGTCAAGTCTTACGCAAAATGCGAAGAAGAGTTCGCAAATGCGAACTCAGCAAGAATAGGCAGTATTCGCAAATGCGAAGACCACTTCGCAAATGCGAAGTCAACCTGGATAGTCAACCTTCGCAAATGCGAAGGTCTCATCGCAAATGCGAACCTGGGCAGTCTGGGCAAGTTTGGGAATTGCGAACTTTTGTTCGCAATTGCGAAGATCGTGCTTCAGGCATGGGCAACTCTGGAATTTCACACTTTTGATCCCCAAACCATTTAATACCCGATTAGGCTCATTTGTAAAATATCTTTGGCATATCTTTGGCTTATTTTCAGTTCTTAGGGCTAGAGAGAACAAGTTTTGTAAGCTAGGGCTTTGCACACACACTTTGGTCTTGAAGATTGAAGCTTTTGGTTGAGAATTTCTTACCCATGTATGTTGCTTTCTTCATTTCCTTGCTTTGTATTCTATATCTAAGTGTGTAGTATTTTATTCAACACTTAAATCTTGTTTATGGAAATATTCATGTTTAAAGTGTAGATTAAATACCTTGTTGTGCTTATGTATTGAATGATTTTTATTTATTTATGAAGTGAGTTATTGTTATTTTAATTATTCTTGTTCTTTAATGTTTCCAAAGGGATTAGCTAACCCTAGGACTCGCCCATTAACTCCGAATTAATTTTGGGAAAGATAATTTGGGGTTGGGAAAGATTAATTAACAAGAACTTGAGGCGTTAACCCTCATTTTATAGATTCTTCCTAGGGATAGGATTGAACTACTTGTAGCCATTCCGGGTGTGCTTAATCTTCTAATTGTTTTAGGGATAATTCAGTTAGACTGCATTTAGTACATTTTAGCATATTTTACAGACTGCATTTAACCCTCATTAATCTTCTATTTTGTTTTAGGGATAATTCAGTTAGAAAGACTTCTTTTGACTTGTTTTCACTTGGTTTTTTCACCATTACTTCTAAATCACAATCACCCTGTAAAATAGAAGTAAATGACAGTAAATACATGATTTTATCACTCAAACATAACAAAAGTATAGGTTTAAAGGCAAGATAAGTTGGTAAAATACCAACTTATCAGGGCCCACGTCTTGAAATTCGATAAAAATCACACCAATAGAATCCTTACACTCTCATGAGTTTGTACATACCAAGAACATCAAAATCCGACATCAAATGCCTATTCAAATCCCCAAAAGAATTTTCAAACTTTTCTTCCATTCCCCCCCAATTTCCACTCTAATTTCTCAATTTAAATGATAATAATCAAGACATAATCATGGTATTTAACCAAATTTGAGTGAACAACACTTACCCCAATCAATCCTCTGAAAATCCTTTCAAAAATCACCTCAATCCGAGCTCCATAGCTCCAAAAATGCAAAAATGACCGAAACCCTCGAAATAGAGTACTTTATAATCTGCCCAGGCATTTACCCTATGCTATCGCGGACAAACTAATGCGATAGCGAAGCACAAAATTTTTCCAGCCCTTCTTTTACCCTATGCGATCGCGGCCATTCATCCGCG